GCTGCTCGCCGGAGTGTTGCTCGAGCGACTGAAACAGAAACTACCTCACTCGATTTTCGCCCCACTGTCGCTCGAGCGACAGACCCTTCGCTCGAGCGACGTATTATACTAGGAAACCTAATTTTCTATTTTCGAGTTTTGTACTTGGCCTATATAACCTAATTCGTCCAACCTATATATTGAAGGCGCCGTATTCTCTAAAAGATGGATTGAACAACATAATATTTACGAAGAATACATCCTATACAAGATCCAAAGTTCAATCATTCAATTCATATGTGCCTCTTTCATTGAAAACATTAAATCAAACACTGGATTGGTTTCTTCACTTGGATATGCTGCTAGATTGTGTCGCCAACTGTACTGCATTAAAGATCAAGGAAGTGTTTGAAGAACGATGAATTCTTGGGGAAGATCTATAGGAGATAAACTGCGTAGAGAGTCAAGATTGAAGTTCGTGTGCTCATTTCAGGAGGACTGCTTTACAAAGAAGAATCGAGTTTGGTGTTCGTGTGCACATTCCAGGGCTGCTTCCTATTTCAAACATGAGATCAAAAAGTTTGTGTTGTCAACTTTGCTGGTGGTCTGTAGGTGTATTATCAGTTTATAATGGACCTTTAACTGACAAAGCGCCCAGAGTTTTTCCCACGTTGGGTTTCTCCGTGAACAATTCTGATGTTGTTTATGCTTTATTTATTATTGTGATATAACTATGGTATTTAAAGATATGCTAAATTGGATTGTTTGACTAATCACATGGACATAATTAACTTGTGGCATGTTGCTAGTTAATTAGATTGATAATTCCTCATTTATACCTAATCACCCCCCTCTAGGTGTAGTTGGGTCGAATCCTGCGTTTTTCAATTTGCATGGTTTGATAAAAGTTGATTGATTAGATCTTCTTCCATTAATCCATATCATCCTTATTTTCTTGGAGAAGGGCTATAAAGTTATCCAAAATTATGTTTTTTCTTTTAATAGTGGATTTTCTTAATGATATTTGTTCTTGAAATTGTCGAGTTTGTTTTTTTGGAACAATTTTTTGATTATGTATAGAGAATTTTATAATATTGTCTTGATCCGAAATTATTTTTTGAACAAGATCTAGAGCAAGAATTTATCTATGGTCCTGATCATTGTCAATCGCAACAAAAGAAATATATACATATTCTCCCCTTGTACACTCTGCATCATCAAGGAATCAGACATTTTTCCATTTCGAAAATTAACCTAATAGAGGGATCTTTAAAAATTTGCAACCTTTTAATATTTGCTTTACTTAGAATTTTATTGAGAATTTAAGCTGCAGTTTCTAGTGCTTTTTCCTAGAGAGATTCTTGCAAGATGAAATGACTAATTTTACTCTTTACCACGTCCTTAAATATTTTGTTTCGTCTTTCAATAATACCATTCATGCTAGAAAATCCTGACATGGTGTACTGTGGGACGATTTCATATTCTTCTAGGAATTTTAGTAGAAGGCCCTGGACATTATTCTCTTCATGCGTCATATCTGTCATCCACCATAGCCAGATCAACATGTTTTATTATTTTGTTGAGTTGAATTTCAATCTGAGCCTTGTAAGCCTTGAACATGTCCAGTATTTGTGATTTCTTATAGATGAGATATAAGTAGGCATAGTGAGGAAAATTCGTCTATGAACATACTAAATGACTGTTGATCATTCTAAGAAGTCGAATGGAATAGCCTATAGATATCCGTATAAATTAGTTCTAAAATGTCTGAAGTTTTATTGATACCTAATCTCTTTATATTTGTTTGTTTTCCCTCAATGTAATTAACATAAACACTTAAATTTGAAAAATTATGCGAATTAAGAGTTCCTTCTGACACAAGATTTTTCATTCTCTTTTTAGAGATGTTACCTAATCGCTTATACCATAACGAAGCAAAATTTTCATTGGTTAATTTATGTTTAATACCATGTGAATTCACATACAATATTTTTTCGTAAGAGGCAATCGTATTAAGCAGATGTAGATTATCGTAACTGGATAAAGAATGATACTCACAATTTGAATTAAAAAAAAAAGATAAAATTGACTAATTTCAATTGAACAAGAGTAATCGAATTTGTCAAATGTAGATATAGAAACCAAATTTCGCTAAAAGAAGATACCTCAAATGTCCCTTTTTTAAATTCAAATAATAATAACCAGTTTTTAATGATAACTTAAAGTCCCTATGGCCTTAACTTTGACTGTTTCTCCATCGCCTCACATAGATGAATCTTTCAGCATCAATTGGCTTTTAGTTGTTCATGCAACCTCGCCTAGACACACTTATGTGAATAATGGTACCAAAATTTATGCACCAAGCGTATCTTGATATTGACACTAAATTAACCTTAAAATTAACCAAAGTGAGAAGTGTATTTTTCTTTACATGCTAGCGTGGTATTTAATACAGTCTTTCTTTATATATCCTAAATTTTCACAAAAGTAACAACCAAATTTATCCTTTTAAGGCTTTTGCTGATTATAGTGAATCGAATCGGATGTAGTTTTCTTATTCTTTATAACCTGTCCTTAGAGGTACATGCTAAGTGAGTAATATCAATTTTATTTTGCTTTAACCTTTCTTATTTTTGTTCACAACATGAAACGAGCTCATTAAGAGTCCACGGTCCCTTTTGATAGTAGTTACCTCATTGGACACAGCGCCCCTGAATGCTGCTGGAATTCCACTTTTCATGATCATAAGACTTATGCGGTTTGAACAATTCCACTTATTTGAGTCCCTTTTTACTAGTGGAACTTTTTTATATAAGATTAGTGAGTTCTTCAGTCCTTAATGCAAGGTCTAGATCAATGTCGCCAATAACAATACTAACGTTCTCTTTCCAGTTCTTAAAAACTTTGGTTTAAGAATATGAATTGAATTAATTATGACAGATATTATAGAAGTAGATGGATTAACCGAATAGAGAATTTAAACATAAATAACATGTTCACGTAAGAATCCGTATTGACAATAAATCCGATCAAACATCAAGTCTATCTTTGGATCAATTCAATGTTCATATAATGAAAAACTTTACAATTATCAATATTTATCACCACATGTGTGTAAATAATTCGGCCAAACATTAACCTTTCTTTAGGTCGGTTAATACTCGCATGAATTACATGCACCAACCTACCTAACATTCCAAATAAATTAATTTAAGTAAGACATGTTACTTTGGTAACATGTTATTTCAACTAATCTATTTTAGAAAATTAGTAATCCAAAAGAAACTTTAAATACCAAGATTTAAAATTGATTATTCCTTAACCTTTATCTTTTTTTTTTTTGATACAAATAAATAAATAAAATTAAAAAGCAGCAAGTTAGCGTCACAACACTACATAGCTGCCTTTACTGGCCAATGAAATAGCGCGTCATTACTGACCATGGAGTCGAGCAATCGAAATTATTGTTTTTTCTTCTAAATTGCTTCAACCAGTACAATCACATCCCCACATGATTAGCGTCGAGACCAAACATGCATCATTAACATATGGAACCCATGATCTACTAATGGTCACTTAATTTGACTTCTAAAATAGATAGATGATTATTTATTTTGAAATCCCCACAAATTAATTACTCATGTTTTAATCCTTCATGCAAAATTAGCAAAACTTTTTCTTAATGTTGAATCCGGAATACAACATATAGTAATTAATTATAATCGTATTCAAAATCAACAATGAATTTATAAGATTGTCAAATTTGAAAACACAAAAAATTTAAAAAATCCAAGATTTTGAAATTTAATGTTTGAAATTCACATCCCAAAATTAAGAAATCCAAAATATGAATTTCAACTCTAAAATTCTTTCTTGAATCTCAATGANCAAAGCTTTATGTTGGAAGAGGCATGCACGAAGATATGTTTTCCCTTCTGAAGTAAGCAAGCAATATGCTTTTAGCCCATATATGAGTTGATTTTTTTATTTTTATTTATTTATTTATTTTTTTGCATTCCTGTGTTGATAGGAAGACACAGAGAATCAAAAGTTGAATATGAATTGGGGATCATAACCATATATATAATTTTCATATGTATTTGGCTCATCGTCACATACAACTCTAATCAATCTGATCTCTACACATAATCCAACTCACACTTTATTTCGATACCCCAAACCCAATAATTTAATTCTTTATTAGATCACTTTAATTATGTTCAACTTTAAGATATTCTTATGCACAATTAATTAAATATGTAGGTCTACATAATAAATTAATTAACACAACAGTAACTAGATATTTTGGACAAAGTATATGATACTTCTGAAATTGAATTTTCCATATGTTGGAAAGTATGTGCACATTAGTCAATTTAGTAAGAGGTAATCAAATGATTTGTTGACATGATTCACATTTAATTATATGCAACCTGAGAAGCTATATACGTATGCTTGATAGAAAACTGTAGTGCATGTTTGGTGCGTTGAATTAAATAAGATTACTTATAAATTTTCTCAATGTATTTATTTAATCAAGTTATGTCTAGTACTCAAGTATGACTAATCAGTGCTAAAAAAAATCATCTCGTAATAGGCCTAAATTTGAAGCAAATTCTATTTCATCCAAGTACTAGATATTCCTAAATCTAATCATCAGTTTATTTCCATCTTAAAATAAAAGTAGCCAGATCTTGTCAAGACTCGAAGGACTGAAACATTTCACATAAAGAACATGAGTGCACTTGGTATACAGTGCTAGACAATATTTGGTCAATATGTAACTTTTTTTTAACAATATTGTCCAGGTATTGTCTAGTGTCACTAAACATGTTACATACGATGTACAATATGTAACTTTTTCTTCTACAATATTGTCCAAAGTAATGTTTAGTCTTCCTAGCCAAATATGCCATATACGTACAGTATTTGTTACCTTTAATTGATGCTACAAGACTAGGAAGAAATGCATTCTCTTCAGAAAACAAGTACCTCAAGATCTCACTTAGAATTACCCTAATTCATAGAGTCAGATCCAGAGTACTCGCCCCTCTTGCAATTTTAGTACTCTCATCTTCTTTCAACTTCTTAAACTTCGAGCAGGATGGATCAGTGTACAATGATAATGACAGGATGTTTTCATCGTACATTAAACCTTGCTGCCTTTGATCATCCTCCCTTAATTCTATCCCAAGCGATAAATTCAAGTCGAGGCCACACTCGGGCGCCTTTCTTTTTAGCGTTGTCTGCCTTTGGGGATTCATGGTTTGCTCAATAGGGTTTTGTCTAGATCGGACTAGCCAGGACTCATTCCTGTTAAGTGATCCAAATATGTTGGTCTTCCGAGTGGATATTTCCTCGGAACAAGAAATTCTGGCGCAAATATCTTGATTTACTGACCTATATTGACCGCTGCAGCCCAAGATCCTCTCATTAATTGGATTCTGCCTCATAGTAGAGTTACGTATCCATTTTCCATAATTATTCCAAGAAGAATCTCCAAATCTTGAGAAAGACCAAATTGGAATTTATTCATCAGAGACTAAACTCCAAGAACCCAAAATAAAAGAAGGAATTTTTATATGAATTTCTAACATTATCTATTTATATGTACCTGAAGGTAGAATGAAGAGGGAGTTGGCTTAGATTGTAGATATTCTTGTCTGCGCCTCCCATAAAAAGCCGGTGATCTACCATCCCTGTAATGAGAAGAATTGCATAAAATTCCAATACTGAAAACCCTAATCGTGTCGAATAAAGATAAATGAATAGAGAAATGAAGAAAAAACATACATTGGTTGGGCTCATCAATTTTCTTGCTTCTATACATCTGTACAAACAAAATTTAAAAATATTAAGGGTACAAAATATTGGTCATTAAATGATCTATATGTGTGCAAATATGCCTTGATTTCAATAAATATAAATTCTTCATATGTCACCTACCTGTAAATGACTCTTGACATGAGCAATGTTTAGCTCTTTGATATTCATCAATTGAAGCACTAATTTTGGAGTTGCTCCTGCACCAAATTAATCAAGAAAAGCAGACAATGGAAAAAAATCTATTAGATCTATAAATTAATCCAAAATAAATTATCATCACCAATTTTACTTCTCTGATAGAGTTCATTTGAAACTCACTATCTTGTCCTCCAAGTCTTTCCACAGCATTAACAAAGCGCAGATGAAGATCAGGCGTCCACCGGAGTCTAGGCATCTTAGATCTAACATAAGGCCTTACCAATGTCTTCTTCTCGCCCTCTTCGACTGTGCTGTTGCTTGAGCTTCCTCCATATCTTTTCCTGCAGGCTTTGTTTTTTGCCTCACTTTCTTCCTCTTCATCATTTCTCTCCAAAGGGCTTGTCTTAGAATATTCAGTATCATCACTTCCCTTCATCTTTATCAGCTCGATTTCGAACTTTTCTTGTATATACCTTCTATAATCAACCAGTACACATGTTATTAAGAACTGGAACTAGGGCTCCCTAGAGCACAAGAATTTGAACTTAAGTCCTTTTCTATATTCCTCCCACTAGACATGCTTAAATGATAAATCTTCTAAAATATAAGAGATTTAACCAATCCTAGCATGAAAATCCATCAATTTGGTTCAAGAATGATATTTTTTTCAAGCCTGTATACTCCAAATGAAAATAAACATAAAAATAAAGCCCTAGAGATGAAGATGGAACACCCCCCCCCCCCCCCCCCCCCCCCCCCCCCCCCCCNATATACAAATGCATATATGCATCTAAGTTCGATGTTATGTAGAGATGAAATATCATGTATCATGTGATCTAGGCCTATTATCATTGTCCACCTTAAACAAACTAGTTCGAGGAATAATAATTTTTAAATCATTCATTGCTTAAAATAAATCAATAATGCTGAAATTTTCACAGACTTCAAAATCAGCTTCGGACACTATTCTACACAACTTATTCAACTTTCAAAGTAAATGCAAAAACCCAGGAAATTTGAGTCCAAGTAAGTTCAAATTAAACTTTTGTAATTCTTGTCTCTTTACATAAAAAAAAGGGCCTTGGGACCGCAAAGGTTTGTATGGTAAACAGGACATTGAAATTCCACCATTTTTTTATACCATCAATATCAAGAGACTATTATCAAACAGCATGCCTAGAAAAGTCTTCTAACATTTTATCTTCCTCTTCACATTTGCCTCCATTTTTGATTTAGAGTATGTTGACTAAGCTTGGAAGTAAGTCCAACTAATGGTTAAGTGACATTTTGTTTTCCAAATTGATAATTTGATTACTTTCAAACAAGTAACATAATATTTTCAAGTTTGACCAACAAAAAAAATATACTTATTTTCTTTTGAGTAAACTTTCTTAAATAAGTTATTATCCTAGTCAAAAATGCACTTAGCCTCTATTTGGTTCAACTCAAAATTTTGGATTAATATATAAATTACTGTCAATAATTAATTTTAATCACACATTTCATGAGTTCATAACTTTTCAACCATATTCAAGAACTTTTATCAAAATTTACTAAAAATCTAATTTTCATGTAAACCATACAAGGTTTAATCAATTTAATAAATATAGTTGACCACTGATGGTAATCCCTTGTACTATTCGACTTGTTTTAATACCAATAAATCATGGTATAATTTCCACTTTGAAGGCCTTAAATGCTGAAAACACATGCATATGAAGACCACATTTGCTTTGTAAACAAGATTGAACAATAAAACAAATAAAATCTTAACTTTTTTTAATTCTTTAATATTGTCGAATACTATTCTAGTCAATTTATCACATATGAAAGAATAGTATATTTTCAATTGTTGTGAGATTTTTATGGAATATGCCTGTGAACTAGGTCAATAACTAGAAAACTCACGAAGCAGAGAGGCCAATATATGCATGAAAAGGTTTTGAAACTTAAGTTATCTGCAAATTCACGGGAATTTGACATCCTTAGAGATTAAAAAACAAATCTATGAATTTTAAGAAAATATATTATATTCAGCCTAAAATACTAACATGTTTGGAGGCCAACAAATACTCGAACAGGGGAAGAATATACGTCCAAATTACTTGTAGTCTAAAATCACTTCTCCAAAGTTCAAGGGTCCCAAGAAGGCCGTGTTGGGGCTGCTGCATTCATCAGACCATGACTTGTTGTAGTTCATACTGAGCTAAACTCAAGAAAAAATTGCATTTTTGCAGCTGCCTTTGCGTCGGGAATCACGGTTGTTTTTCTATATGTATGTGCTGGAATGGAACAATTTCTAGAACTAAATAAAGTAATCAATTACATTAAATAACCCATCTATATCTGATACGAAAATATGTATTCTAGACGGGGGCCATTGTAATTATATGTATTTGGGGTTTAGTTTTGGTATGAAATTTTTAATAGTCCACAAATTTTTTTCCTTACTTTTCCAATTTTTAGCAAAAAATAAATTGTAAGCAAATAAAGGAAATTTGTTTTAACACCAAATAAGTGGTATCAGAGCATTGGGCGATTCGGAGTATTGAAGCAAAAGAAAAAATATTGCTAGTATGAAATATGATGTGTTGAAATGTGATGACTCTTAGTTAAAACCGAACACGGATGTATAGTTAAGAATGTCTTGTAACAGGCTGGACTGCACAAGGCTTTAAAAGGAAAATTGGCCCCTAGTTCCTAACAAAGATGCTGAAAATTCCAATAAGAGCGATGAGGTTTGGGAAGATTTGAATTTGAAATTTGCAAGCAAAATATGTCTCTTTTGGGCAAAAAATTATCCTTGCAATTATTCATGGAATATTTCTGCAAAAGCGCTTTGGAAAAAAACCCGAAGAGTTAAGTATTAGACAAAGCGCCTTTCAATCGGTTGTACTTTAAGGAACATTTCATTCTTTGGATATGGATGAAGGTACAAAATATAATTAAGGTAACCCGTATTTTGCAATTGTCGAGGTACATTTGGAAGACAAATATGGTAATACTTCCTCGGGAATAAAAAAAATTGATCTACTTTCATTTGGTAGTTTGGCCTAAATGCCTTGAATTTTAGATTTGGTATGAAATTTTTGATGGTTCGTAAATTTATCTTATTTTTATATTCTTGTCTTCTATTTTTCTGTTAACAATAAAGATCTTGTGGGCAAATAAGAAAATTTGTCTTAATTTCAACCAAACTAACAAGATAATTATTTATACTGTTTGTTACATAATTGTACAAAAGATTAGTTACAAATAAAGAAGAGACTTTTGTTCAAGCATTGTTCATTATGTTATGGCCAATCGTCTCTCACTGAGCTTATCAAATATGTTCTATACGACACTCAAAAACCTAATCTTCCATATTCTAGAGGAAGACATTAGTCGTTTTGAAAGTTTACAACAAATATTAGGGATCCATGTCTCATCGTCATTTATTTGAAAATATCATACATGCACATTGTTAAGGGATAGAATCTCATATCGAATGAAGATGTAAACATAAACCAACTTATAATGGATTTGGTTACTCCTTTTAATGAAGTTGACCTTTTAAAATGGAACCCAATTCTTTACATGGTATCAGAGCCCATTAAATTTTAAGGAGCAATTCGATCCGGTTAAGACTCCAAAAGTGAGCATACGAATTTTAAGATTGGTCTGTCTAAACTAGCCACCATCTTGCGGGAGCGTGTTAAGGGATAGAATCTCACATCGAATAAAGATGTAAACATAAACCAACTTATAAAAGATTTGGTTACTCCTCTTAATAAAATAGACCTTTTAAGATATAACCCATTTCTTTACACACCTGTAAAAAATAGAAGGCATGCATACATATACATGAGAGGACATATTTATTTTATGTAAGAGTTTAAGTTTTTATACCTCGTGATTCAACATGTGTGAGATAATAAGTCTAAGTTCTAAAAGATAAGAGTCTGTTCTCTTTGTATTTAAGTTTTGTGTTTTCATTTTGAGATTGTCGAAAATGTATTCTTTTGACATTTTGAAAAATTGTTTTGAAAACACCCAAAACGCGTTTTGAAAATTTTAGCTTGATTATAAATGAAAAAATCCCAAACGACAAATTTGTCGTTTTGGTTTTTTTTTTTTTTTTTTTTTTTTTTTAATTTTTTTCTTTTTTTTTAAAACACTGAGAATCAATTTTGGCTTGTGCCTAATACAGTTAAGAATGTCTTGTAACAGGCTTTAAAAGGAAAATTAGGCACAAGCCAAAATTGGCTTTGTAAACAAGATTGGACAATAAGCTCAGTGAGAGACGATTGGACATAACATAATGAACAATGCTTGAACAAAATTCTCTTCTTTATTTGTAACTAATCTTTTAATAATTGTACAAAAGATTAGTTACAAATAAAGAAGAGAATTTTGTTCAAGCATTGTTCATTATGTTATGTCAATTATTAAAAGATTAGTTACAAATAAAGAAGAGAATTTTGTTCAAGCATTGTTCATTATGTTATGTCCAATCGTCTCTCACTGAGCTTATCAAATATGTTCTATACGACACTCAATAACCTAATCTTCCATATTCCAGAGGAAGACATTGGTCGTTTTGAAAGTTTACAACAAATATTAGGGATTCATGTCTCATCGTCATTTATTTGAAAAAATCATACATGCACGTTGTTAAGGGATAGAATCCCACATCGAATGAAGATGTAAACATAAACCAACTTATAAAGGATTTTGTTACTCCTCTTAATGAAGTTGACCTTTTAAGATGGAACCCAATTTTTTACATGGTATCAGAGCCCATTAAACTCTAACGAGCAATTCGATCCGATTAAAACTCCAAAATTGAGCACACGAATTTTAAGATTGATCTGCCTAAACGAGCCACCATCTTGCGGGAGTGTGTTAAGGGATAGAATCTCACATCGAATAAAGATGTAAACATAAACCAACTTATAAAAGATTTAGTTACTCCTCTTAATAAGATAGACCTTTTAAGATAGAACCCAATTCTTTACACACCTGTAAAAAATAGAAGGCATGCATACATATACATGAGAGGACATATTTATTTTATGTAAGAGTTTAAGTTTTTAAACCTCGTGATTCAACATGTGGGAGATAATAAGTCTTAAGTTCTAATAGATAAGAGTCCGTGCTCTTTGTGTTTAAGTTTTGTGTTTTCATTTTGAGATTGTTGAAAATATATTCTTTTTGGCATTTTGAAAAATTGTTTTGAAAACACCCAAAACGCGTTTTAAAATTTTTAACTTGATTATAACTGAAAAAATCTCAAACGATAAACTTGTCGTTTTGGATTTTTTTTTTTTTTTTTTGTAAATTTTTAACTTGTTTTCAAAAACAAGTTTTCGAAAATAGGAAAAAGAAAGTGTTTTCACTGTTTTGGAAAATCGAAAACAGAAAACAGCGTGAAAATGGTAAAGAGAAGAGACTCTA